CTCCTTCTTCCATGATTTTCAGCTGGATCCAGATGGTCTAAAATCAACATGGAAGGTGCATGACATTTTGCATGATTTTGCACAGTTTTTGATGAATAATGATGGAATTGTGATTGAGGTCAATCCAGGAGGCAATTCAGTGATAGATTTGTCTTCCAGAAACGCTCGTTATTTGACAGCATGTATACCAGAGGGGCATTGTCTTCCTACTTCCATTTATGGTGCTGAAAAGTTGCGTAGCCTTATGATCATTTCTGGAGAGAATGCAATAACCAATGAGGCCGTGCGAATAATTTTTAATCAAGCAAAACAGCTAAGGTTGGTGGATTTTGGTTGCCATAATGCATCAATGGATACAATTCCAAAAGAAATAGGGAATTTGATCCGTTTGAGGCACATTAACTTCAGTGGAAGTAAAATAAAAAGATTGCCCCCATCTTTGTGTGAGTTATATAATCTTCAATATTTGAATCTCGACAACTGTGAATCTCTTGAGAATTTGCCAGATGAGATAGGGAATTTGATCAATTTGAGGCACATTATCTGTAGTGGAAGTAAAATAAAAGGATTGCCCCCATCTTTGTGTAAATTACATAATCTTCGATATTTGAATCTCGACAACTGCAAAGCTCTTGAGAATTTACCAGATGAGATAGGGGATTTAATCAACTTGATACATCTGGGGACTCTTCATTGCTACAGTTTAGCTTGCTACCCCAAATCAGCTAGGTATTTAAGTAATCTTAGGCGATTACGTGGGATCGTGCTCAGAGCTGATAGAAATGACCCTAAGGAATTCGCTCTTGGAGACCTGGAAAACTTGAACAAACTTTGTGAACTTTCCATGGTACTGAAAGGAAATGCAGTAGATGATAGAGAGCTTAAAAGAGCCAAATTTGAAAAAAAGATATATTTAGAGGAAATCAAGGTGGAGTGATAAGGTACTTCTTTTTTTGGTTTTTGATATTTCTGTTAAGGTTTTTTTTTTTTTTTTGATACATAAAATGATGAAATATGTACAGGAATATAGATAGTTCATTCTTTTTTTAATTTTTTTTCCACTTAACTTAAAGTTTGAATTTTAAACCTCTTAATTAGATGAATCTCAAAATCTTAACCAATTGTCTTTACGGATTTTGAATACATCTCATGGACTGTACACTTGTATTGAGATGAAATGATATTTATGGTTGGATTGGATTTCATGTGAGGAAAAGAATTTGAAAATCCTATTTCATATTATTCCCTTTTTCATAAAAAATGTTATGATATTATTATTTACTTGTCATTTTAAAATGTCATCTAAGAGGTTGTTTTTTGAAATCCCTCTTCAAGTTCTCCTGTGTTCTCCCCTTAACCATACTCTCTCTTCAATTAGACAAAAGAACATAATCTAAAAAAGGATTTTAAAACTCTTGCTGTATCTCAAATTTCTCACTAAAATAGATTAATTCATCCAAACCCAACCTTAATGATGGACAAAATACTAATTAAGCTAGAAGCTAAGTGCTAATCTTTCTTCCTATCATACACTTATTTCCATTGTTTCCTGATGATCATTATATTCCCTATTCAAAATTAACTATGTTTCATAATTTATGTTTAACCAACAATATTTCATCTCTTTTTTATATATATTTATGAAAAAGACTATGTTTGTAGGAAGCATGAGGCATGATGACAGTCAAGTATGAAGTTAAAGCTAGTTCCGTTGGTGAAGAGGAGCGTTGTTCTTGCAGAGATCAGAAGCTGCTGGTTAATGTCTAGCTGCTAGTTTGTTGAATTGAATATAATCTTGTGTGTAATTTTATTTTCTAAGCTATGCCATGCAACTTGTTATGTGATAATTGTGATCTTTAAGGGTTCTGAATGTTATCTTTAGAGGAGTGTGAGAAGCTCTCCAGTTGTTCAACATGATCAAAGGATTGAATACGTTGGGTATATATGTATTTGAATGAAAGTTTCTTAGTACTTTATGAGAAAGTGTTTGTGGAGTGGATGTTTTTCTAATATGCCTTCCTAGAGTGTTGTCTTCGGGCAGAAGATCAATCATGAAAGTTTCTTAGCAATGCTTTCAATGGCTGTCCCCAAATAGCCAACAATGGCGCCATGATGCATATAGGTAAATCAGGAACAAGGGCTGGGATCTCCCTTGTTGTGGCCTTTGAGAACTAAAAATTCCTCTATTTCAGATCCTATTTCTAGTTTATGTTTCTGTCCTTGTTTGCTGCTTTTACCTGTGTGATGGAGTCTCAAGATGGTTTGAGGGATGTACCATCGTTGGCTGGGAGGTTGATCTTAAACTATTGCCAGCGAAAGCAAGCATTGCTTGTCTGGTGCTCTCTCTTGGACTGCCTTGGTGTGCAGGTTCGGGTTTGTCTTTAGGCTCACTTTGTGGCAGCTAAAAGGTTGGATGTCATAGAAATTAGCAAGACTTTCCAGCAATTCCTCTGGTGCTATCTAGTTTCATTCTGCCACACTGATCTCTGGTTAGTAGGTGTGCCAATATTCAAGCTATTGAGCTGGACAGGAGGATGTCCTTCTTGATTCGACCAACAGATATGTTGTCCTCTTAGTTGTTCGTGTCTGGCTACAGATTTAATTTTCTCTCCATATGTTTCCTCCTGTTGAATGTTTCTTTTGGGTTCGTCTGTGACTCTGTTTTAGGGACCAATTGGTTGCTATAGCATCACCCTAGAAGCTATATTTACAAGTTACAACACATCGTAATAGGCAATATCACTCATAAACAGATATAAACAATTAAGTATAAGAAGTCACTTTAAACTATAAAATTACTAAGGCAGTCACTTTAAGCGTAATAACATGTTACAAGGTAAAAAGATTATCACTATTAGCATCTTGAATCTATATTTCCAGTTTCACTTTTGGGGCAAAAAAATTAATCAAGAATCCCACCCTTGACTGTGGATGACAGCTAACAAGTAACAGTTCGAGCCCAATTAGCTTCATCTCTGCACCGCCGCCTCCTGTACTATATTTGGGATGAACAAGTGACTCTCACCCCGCATGTTAGTGATTTAATTGGGCACCTTGATTTAAAACCAATTACATTTTCTCTGAATGAAGCTTGAACAATAAAGAGCATCTCTAAAATGAAGGTCTTTCTATTGGGATTTTAACCACTCAGAGCTTTTAGCAGAATAAAATGTAGGTAAGATAGATACGAACATTATTAATTATCCTCTACCTGTTTTCTCTTCACATGAATTGAAAGAAACTATACATTTTATTATTGTAATAAGTATATCTTATCCCAAACCTAAAAATTGGGGAAAAAAACGTGAAGCATACCACTTTGTGTAGCTGAGCTGCACGGTTTTTTCTAATTAGTTATAAGATCTCTCCATTCCAGTTCTTTGTAGCTAGATTAAGCTGAGGGCCTTGGAGAAAATCTATAAAAATTGGAAAAGAAGATGCTGCCAATAATACATGATAAACATATCAAAGCAAATGCAACTAATATAGACAACTAACAATAATGCACTCGCAATTACTGATGGATTTGAAATAAAAATACACAATATACCTGAATTGTGTCAGAAGCAAAAACTTCTTAAAGCATAGCCCAGATCATGGTTCTATTTTCCACACCAGGAGGTCCTTCAAATATGTAAGGACCATATACTTCCTCTTTCATAACTCAATATATTACAAATTGAATAGTCTATATGAACTTTTAAATTCCAATTAATGAGTTTGAATTGAATTCTTTAGAGAGAAAGAATTAGTCAAACCTAATCTTGCAGATGAAATGTTAATTTTGGTGGCATTCTTATAATCTAACCCAAAATCCCTACATATGTATGGCATACCATTGCAAATCTGAATCAGCACACTCATCCATCAATTATGGCTTTTCACAGGCACATGCAAAGTTATATATTAAACTTTGCTAGATGCAAGAAGGCTAATTCACAACATCAATAATTGATTATCCTGAGAATTCAAGAACTCAGTGGGAAACTGATTAGTCCCATTTCAGTTCAAAATAGATTAAAGAGGCAGGAAAAATTTTCATTTTGGCTAAATCACCACAGGCACCAGGGACAACAATTAAAAGGCAAACATTTTTAGGCACAGTTCTAACCTTGTGTGAATTATAACAACAGACTCGATGGTTAGACACATAGCTAACCTGGAGTGAATTATTTTATAAGTAGGCATGTGTGTGAAATCTTAGATAATATTAATGATGTGCATCAGTGAATATGAAATGAGTTTAAACTTTAAAGTAAAACAGAAGTGGCTTACCCTTTAGCTTCTTCTGTAGCAATGAAGCTTGGATATGTGACTGCTGCCTATAAAGTGGTTACCCAACTCTGTAAGCTTTGGAGACAGCTATCAACTGGTTTCCTGCATGACTTCAAATGGAAACACATCAGTCTTCTCATCCACAATTGGTGAAGAAACTCGATTTTAATCTAATAGTTGGGCTCAACATTGATTGAAAAAGAGGAAAAGAAAAAGGTTTTGAACTTTGGTACTCTAATATCCTGCCAATTGTGGCAATAGGGCGGTGTGACAGTTAGGAAGGAAGTCATTCTGCTAATTCAAAATCTGATATCTTTAACCCAAATTTGAGGGGAAAAACACACGCGCACACACACACACACAAATAGGTTTGAAATTCATAATACAATAATTGCTATAGAGGGTCAAATAAAATCTAAAATAGATTAATTTCAGATGTGTACCTGTAGCTCAAAATATGCAGTAAATAGACCATCTGAAGCCTTGATACCCTGGATTATCCTTTTATTAATGGAAGCTGTACCATGTTTTCCAATCAATTATAGCAAAGTAATTTAAAATTTTATGTTCATAATAAATTCAATTAACAAATCTAATTTAATCCTTAACAAAATTCATACAGGTAGTCTATGATTAATGGATATAGAATGAAAATTTTGTAGAGGGAAAAGGGTATCTAAATGAAGAAAATAGAAAGGGCTCTCAAGAGAAAGGCAATCACATATGCCCATCCAACAACTTCCTAGAGATAGAAGCACAGAATCCTATTCTTATCTGGCCAATTTTAGGCTAATTGACTCCAAATCCAAAACGGACCCAGAAAGTTGGGTAATTTTCTTCAAGTAAGCATCAACACTTCATTCACACATAAAATATCGTCAATGAATTAGTATTGAGTAGTGAAAATCATGATTGTTGCAATTTCAAATATGTCATTAACTGGTTAACAGATTTTTTTAGAGAAAAACAATTGAAGCATAAACAAATTAGCAATGAACCCTAACTTGAATCAAATTCTTAATTATCAACTAAATTATAACATTCTCCGTCCCTAGTTCTAATTCCCAGTGTCCTGTATATATATGTAAAAGAGTTAAATCAGAATCAAGTGTTGTAATCTCCGAAGAGTCAAGGAGAAGAATTTGTTGTAGAAACTAATGGGTTAAGTTATAACTAATTTCCAGCAAACAATGTAAAAACTGTGTCTAAAATGAAAAAGTAAACTACCAAGGAACTCTTTGCTTTCTTCAAACAATGTAATCTCTTTGACAATTAACACAATGATACACGAACGAGCTGTTGGATTGTGGGACCTTATCCCCTCAGGCGAGGTCAGTTGTCTCTTTCTATTTTGTTGCCTGGTGGTTGCGATTCTCCTAGGCTCCAATCAGGGGAAGCTCTGATTTAGAAAGCGCTAATCGAACCGTTAATCGTGTCCACCTCCTCCTCTTGCTCTACAATGGTCGACGGTTGAGCGGCGGCAATCAAAGGTCTGCGGGCAGTGAGCTTGTGGATGACAGAGTACAACAGGATTTTTAAGGTTGTGGCGGGGAATGAAAGGACAAAAGAGGAGATTTTGGCTTAGTTTGACCGTGTTGGCAAGTATCTCTGTATCTGTGTAGGTTTATTTTTTTTAAATATCTTTTAATATTTTGAAAATATATAAAATACATTTAATATTTATTATAATTAATATTTTATATATTTTAAAAATAATAAAAATCAAAAATCAAAAGTTAAAAAAATT